GTACGACCTGTCACACGCCCGCACTTCCGGCACTGTATTTCGAAAAAAAAACCGAAAAAATCGAAAAAGAACAACTGATTCTATTAGAGGAGGGTTCGCTCTATCGAGTGAAAATAAAAAATCCGAATCCAAAATACAAATTTCAAAGATCTAAGCGTCGGGATATAACGACGCAGTACGACCTGTCACACGCCACCACTTCCGGCACTGTATTTAAAAAAAAAAACAGAAAAATCGAACAAGGACCACTGATTCTATTAGAGGAGGGTTCGCTCTATCGAGTGATTATAAAAAATCCAAATCTAAAATGCACATTTCATAGAGCTAAGCCACGAAAGAAAACGACGCAGTACGACCTGTCACACGCCCGCACTTCCGGCACTGTATTTCGAAAAAAAAACCGAAAAAATCGAAAAAGAACAACTGATTCTATTAGAGGAGGGTACGCTCTATCGAGTGATTATAAAAAATCCAAATCTAAAATGCAAATTTCAGAGAGCTAAGCCACGAAAGATAACGACGCAGTACGACCTGTCACACGCCCGCACTTCCGGCACTGTATTTCGAAAAAAAACCGGAAAAATCGAAAAAGAACCACTGATTCTATTAGAGGAGGTTTCGTTCTATCGAGTGATTATAAAAAGACCAAATCAAAAATGCAAATTTCAAAGAGCTAAGCCACGAAAGATACCGACGCAGTACGACCTGTCACACGCCCGCACTTCCGGCACTGTATTTCGAAAAAAAACCGGAAAAATCGAACAAGGATCACTGATTCTATTAGAGGAGGGTTCGCTCTATCGAGTGATTATAAAAAATCCAAATCTAAAATGCAAATTTCAGAGAGCTAAGCCACGAAAGATACCGACGCAGTACGACCTGTCACACGCCCGCACTTCCGGCACTGTATTTCGAAAAAAAACCGGAAAAATCGAACAAGGATCACTGATTCTATTAGAGGAGGGTTCGCTCTATCGAGTGATTATAAAAAATCCAAATCTAAAATGCAAATTTCAAAGAGCTAAGCCACGAAAGATACCGACGCAGTATGACCTGTCACACGCCCGCATTTCCGGCACTGTATTTCGAAAAAAGACCGGAAAAATCGAACAAGGATCACTGATTCTATTAGAGGAGGGTTCGCACTATCGAGTGAATATAAAAAATCCGAATCCAAAATACAAATTTCAAAGATCTAAGCGTCGGGATATAACGATGCAGTACGACCTGTCACACGCCACCACTTCCGGCACTGTATTTAAAAAAAAAACCGGAAAAATCGAACAAGGACCACTGATTCTATTAGAGAAGGGTTCGCTCTATCGAGTGATTATAAAAAATCCAAATCTAAAATGCAAATTTCAAAGAGCTAAGCCACGAAAGAAAACGACGCAGTACTACCTGTCACACGCCCGCACTTCCGGCACTGTATTTCGAAAAAAAACCGGAAAAATCGAACAAGGATCACTGATTCTATTAGAGGAGGGTTCGCTCTATCGAGTGATTATAAAAAATCCAAATCTAAAATGCAAATTTCAGAGAGCTAAGCCACGAAAGATAACGACGCAGTACGACCTGTCACACGCCCGCACTTCCGGCACTGTATTTCGAAAAAAAACCGGAAAAATCGAAAAAGAACCACTGATTCTATTAGAGGAGGTTTCGTTCTATCGAGTGATTATAAAAAATCCAAATCTAAAATGCAAATTTCAAAGAGCTAAGCCACGAAAGATACCGACGCAGTACGACCTGTCACACGCCCGCACTTCCGGCACTGTATTTCGAAAAAAAACCGGAAAAATCGAAAAAGAACCACTGATTCTATTAGAGGAGGTTTCGTTCTATCGAGTGATTATAAAAA